AGAGAGAGAGAGAGAGAGAGAGAGAGAGAGAGAGAGAGAGAGAGAGAGAGAGAGAGAGAGAGAGAGAGAGAGAGAGAGACAGACAGACAGACACGGACAGACGACAGACAGTCAGTGGGGTTATGCTCTCTTGTACTTCAACCATTATTTTATTTTATCTTTTTGCTTCAATACGTTTTCTCCGTTAGTGTTTCTTTATACTTGAATTATGTTTCCTTTCTTTCAGGCTTTTCTATCATGTAGTTGCATTTTGACGTGCCATAGTTCTTGTCCCATCTGTGCCTCCTAGAGAGTAATCATGTATGCGACCGCAATTACAGCCGACCGTGGATGTGTGTGACAGCAATCACACTCAAAGATACGTTGAAAAAGTCCCATTGTGAGTGTGCCGTCAGAATGCTGGCTGCTGCTCACTTTCTCTTTTATCTCGTTGTTTCAAGACACACCCTGGTTGACTTTCAAAAACTGGTTTCCATATTGAGTAGTCTGGCCAACGGCCTTCACATGAACTGCCTGAGCCCTATTTCTTAGACATGAAATCCGAAACCCTAAACCCACAACGCTGAACATTAAACCCTAAACCCTAACCCTAAACCCTAACCCTAAACCATAATTCCACAGCTGTACAATACTACTATGCCACCATAATTCACAGGTAAGCTACGGCCCTGCATATCTTAAGCACCCCCTCCTTTCCTTTCTTAAACCACCAGTAATTTTTCTAGCTATTTTTCCCTGACAGGGCCCATTATGCGCCGCTACTCTTTCTGGCTCCGCCTTCGGAATCAGAAAGGCTAGCGACCCTGGCCCCCGAAAAAAAAAGAATTGCGCCAGCACTGGTTCAATAAACGTGACACACTTTTTTGAACCAGTGCGTCACATTTATCGAAAAAGAGGTTTGGAAGTACTGGTGGTTTGAAATGCATTTGGTCCAATGATTTGGATCATTTGTGGATTTGTGTGTTGCATACTTGCACGTACCATGCTATTCTCCTTTGTGCAAGTCTAATTTTAGCAGATAGTAAATACCCAGCACTTATTTTCACTTATTTTCTCAGCAATGGTTTCAACGCACCGGTTCTGATTATCTGTCTCCCCTGCATTTTCTGCACTCGAGATTTGCCTCCCTCAGTGCCCTTTTTGGCCACCACAGGTCTTGAACTTCTTCCTTAAATCACCAGTGTACATCGGAGTCTTTTTTTTTCCTGATTCGGATTGCCCGCGCCAAGCCATGCCTAGCCGACACAGCAGGCCGAGCCCCTAAGGACACGACGTGTTAATCGCCGCGTCAAAACAAAATAGCCGGGAAACATTCTGGTCGTTTAAGGCGCTCATCTTCGCTCAAACGGTCTGAAGAATGCAGTTCCACAGATCTTCCACCTTGAAGACCCTTTTTGTACCCAACCCTTTCTCAAAATCCTAGTATCTCTCAGCACAGAAAGACAGCAGTCTTCGTGACATCCGTGAACGAGGCGTTAGCATGAAGAGCACTGTTTCGTTCCCGGCAATCGGTGACGTGGCAGTTTTTCGTTTAAATGCAGTGTTGCACACCCGGACCGTTGGCGACCCTTGACTGGTCGGCTGCGGACCCGCCGACCGGTCAGCTGGTCGGCACCTACCAGTTCGGGGGTCGTCAGCACCTACCGGCTCGGGGGTCGTCGGCACCTACTGGTTCGGGGGTCGTCGGCACCCTGCGGAAAAAAAAAGGGTCCAGAACCCCTAATAACCCCACGAACACCCCATACCCACCCCAAATACCCCCATACACTACCCCAACACCCACAAACCGCCCCCCAACAACC